ATTAAATCGTATTGTGAATAGCCTAGATGAAATACTATTAAAAAATCAAGCTGGATTCCACTGTCACCATTCGTGCATTGATCACATTAACACCATGAGGATTATTATCGAAGAGTCTACTGAGGTTAATACCCTGCTCTATAAGATTTTATAAAGTCATGGAAAAGTTTTTGATGCTCTTCAAAAGGGTATTATTTGGGCGACTCAGGAAGCGTATAGGACTCTCATGAAGTTGATAAGCATAATAAGAAATTTATAAAATGCTACTAGTAAAGTTTTATATGCAGGCGAACTAAGTGATTCTTTTCTAACAGTATCAGAGGTTAAACAATGTTGCGCTCTCTTACCACTGTTATACATAACGACATTAGATATGATTTTTAACGAGCTTGATCTTAACGGACGAGATATACAGTTTAAATTACTTAAAAAGCTAAATCACTTGCCTTACGCCTATGATGTTGTGTTGCTTTTTTCAAATCAGAATGAAATGCAAAGTATATTTACCATACTAATAAACGTCTTTTTGGAAGCTGAATAATTTAATAATTAAATTTAATTAAATTTAATAAAAATAACATTAATATAACATTAATTAAAAAAAATCTTTTGAAAACAAGTGAACTACAACAACAAAAATTATTTTTATATTATTTTAATTAATTGAATTTTTGGTTGACCATACAACTGCTTCGAGTATTGTAAAATACTTATCAACGTTGAGGGAACCTCTCTATTATATACTAGAGTTTCTATTAAGTAAAATAGTCACTACCGTCATGGCTGGTGTTCAAATGCAATAAAAATAATCTTCAATTCTAAAGACTGAAATGTATCTTGAAAGGAAAATAATGGATATCACATCACGATAATGCACAATCTCACAAGGCTATCAGTGTAAATAAATTTCTGCCGAAAAATCCCTAAAAAGCTTATTGAACAATTATCGCAATATCCTAATATAGTTTCGAGAGACTTACTGTTCCCAAACCTAGATTACTTTTTACACAATTGTTTTAGTAACAGTAACAAATATATCGTATGTTGTAGTATGATAAATTAGCTAGGTTAGCTTGGCGTGGCAGCTCTCTATATAAAATTTTATTTAAGTACGAATAATGCACCATTGTGATATCACCATACGTACGCCAGGCCTGAAGAACCACTTTAAAGGTAGAAGTCGCAAAATTTATAGTGCACGATTATCATCTCCTTGAGCAGATGCAATTCTCGTATTCGATTTGATTAATCTGACAAGTCTATAAGGTTCTTTATTAAAAACTATCTAAGATATCTACTAAGCCAATGAAGCATAAATTGCTACCTAAATTGATATACTAATCAAATAAATCAGTATAATCGGCATAGGCTTTCAAATGGCTGGGTTAACTACTTTAGGAAAGTGGTTGTATGGTTTTGATAACGAGATTTATATTTCGTTATCTCCATATAAATCTTTTCTGTTACATATTAGATACTAAGATCCAGATGGACTCTGATGTATCATGCCCCACTGATTATAATTCCTAGGACTTTTGATTGAGAATATTGAATGAATGATGATATTGTCTAAACAGCTGATTCTTACAATTCGATATAGCACTCGTATGATTATTTGGATTTTATGATGACTTTATATAGGAGTAGTTTATTTTACAGATAACATATAATTGATGTTGTTGGCTGATAAGCCAATACATTTAAGTAAGTTGTATATCAAGTGCATTTGCTCATTGAAATTATGTGGTTTCCCCATTTGAGTCGTTTTTTAATTACGTTCTTAAATACTTAACGATATACTCTATGCGCACTAATTCGATATTCGATACAATATCCTGACTCTTATTCAATGTGTTGGGTTGATAGTGATTCCTGCGTGTGATAAAGTTGATTGGCGTTGATTTGGTTGTGTTTATCTCTTTCTTTTTGTATTTAACCGTTTTTCTATATCATGGAAACCAATTTGAAGATAAAGAATAGTAATATTTGGGTTCCTATAACACTGAGATAAGACAGTCTTATAGGTGAATATAGGCGATGTATAGCGAAAATATATTATTGCGCTATTGTTTTGTTTAAAATTTGTGTATAAATTTTAATAATACTCTTAATTTAAAATATAAAATATATGTATTAGTAAACAATTTCTCTTATCAAATTATTTTGCAATAACTGCAACATAAGCTTTTATGTAAATCCTGAACAATATTGACCTGGAAGTTTTTATTATTTCATTTCACTATCAAATTATGCTACTACTATATGTATTTATACATAGAATGTTAGACAAAAACTTATCAGCAGTCGTGCTTAAAGCTTTATGTGTGTGCAGTAATTTTATTGATAAAAACAACTTGATTTATATGGAAATAGAAATTTGACACTATGATGAGAAAGCCGAAGATTTATGTTCAGCAATAAATATTCCAGCATTTAAGATTTTGACCAGTGCATGAACATATGTGTATTTCCAATAAAAATTCTAGTTTATTCTAGTTTAGTCCATTGAGTCATAGTAGGTAGGAAAATGGCTGACATGCAATACGTGTCCAGGTTGTAAATTATGTTGGAGCAATTATTTTCCTTATTACAAGAATTACTTAAAATTTCTTAAATATCTGAGTATCTATAGATATTGTTAAATTGTTTGAATAATTCATGTACAGGTACATTTATTAAAAATACTTATACTGACTTTTAATAATCACTGTTATTTAAAACTAATAGTTGCTATTATGTTTTAGAAATACTATTAATAAATAAAATAAGCATTAAAATTTTTTAAAATATCTCAAGAGAGTATAAAACTGCTGGATGCGCCCAAGAGTATCTCAGTTATGAACTGTGAGAAGCCAAATGCTGGCGAGAGTTTTTAGTCACTTATCAGTTTTTATATTATTTTTAATTTTAAACACAAAAAACAGCAATGACATTAATTCTGTTGAACTAAATAATTATATATATGAATTTATTATTAATTAATATTATTTTATTAATTATTCACATGAAAAAGTCAAAATATTTTTTTGAATTTTTAAATATTCCATAATATTGCACTAAAATTTAATAGTTTTTTCGTTAATAAAAAAAAAATATATTTGTATTTATTATTATTTTATTAATTATTCACATATTAAAGTCAAAAAATTCTCTTGAATTTTTGAAGTATTCCGGAATATTGCACTAAAATGTAACAGTTTTTCGTTATCAAAAAAAAATTATGGCCGATATATAAAAAAAACAAAAACATTTTTTTATAAAATAATTTTAAACGTCACTACTTTGATAGTTAAGAAAAAAAACATAAGCAATCTAAACTTATTAAAGTTTATTATTATTGCTAGGGGATGTGTCACAGCGACCGTCAGCTTTATTATGCCCCCTTCTGGGCTTAGAATAGGTTTTTAAGCCCTGTTGCGTCAATAAAAAGTAGTATAGAACCTACTAAAATAAAAATGTATGATAATAATATAAATGTACAGTACAAAAAATAATTTGGTTGATTTAACTAGATTTTAACTAAATCCCAAGTCAATATATTCTTATTCGACGCTTCATGTTGGTAACATACAACCATACGATATGTTGGTTTTCATATCTTTTTTTACTTGTCAATATGACAAGTATGTGCCTAGAGTATATTTTTCTGAGTGTAGTAATGGAAGCTTATTATCTGATATGAAAAATCCAAATACTGCATAAGAATAATAAGATTTAATGACATTTTCACCATATAGTTCTCTCCTGTATAGTGCAAGCGGAAGGAATACGAAGAGTGAACGGATTGTGAAACGACACATTGTCTTAGTGAAAGAGAATTATTTTTTCTTTCTTCTTCTTGATCAATGAACAAAATTCCACTCGCATTTGAAAATACGGATGCCATAACCTCATCAGCTTTCTTTTGCGTTCTTGTCCGCTTAACTCGAGGTACGCTTGCCACTTAGCTTACTGCTTATTCGTTTTTGAAGTGATCTGGTGGGTCTAAGTTTTGTTCACTGTTACATCTCCGAACAACCTTCAGTAGTATCCAGTAGTTGTTTATGGTTAACTGTCACAAAAGCGGCACCTACTTCGAAAAGAGGTTTCTCTTAAACAAATGTTCCTAAAACATGAAGTCAACATATATATTAGAATTCTTTAAGGTGTCAGCTGCAAGTCTACTTTATCGTGTGTCAAAACATGTAAACGGTATAAGGGGCTGTCACGACTTCTTTTTTGTGATTAGTCTGTTCGGTATCACCGGTATTTGTACATAGGTAGGTCTTTGAAGTCAGCATAACACTTCTTCAACATTTGTCTCGATGGAGCGTAATCCTCGCATAAGAGTTACTCTTTATCTACATTAGAGCGAACCTTTCACTATCAAGGTATTTGAAAAATAATAATACAAGGCTTCAGATTTTTTTTTGAATCAATTGTTCTGAAATATAAAAAATGGCGTCAGTAATGCAGTAAAGTTATACATTCATACTGACTTATAATGAAATCTTTACAGATATCATTCGAAAGTTGACATTTTTTTAAAATATATATGGACTTTTTATTAGTTGCAGTTCCTATATATCATTCTTATCACTGATTACTATTATAGTAGAATCATATGCTTTAGTCTAGTCTCCGATATCTTCTTCAGTGCGTTGCAAGTATGTTAAGAAACTTAACAAACCTTTTAAAGTTCATTAGTATAAAGTATATTAAATCTTGATATTTTTAGCAATTTAATAAAGTGATAAGATTGATATGTTTATTTATATTTTTTTAAAAATTAAAAGTGAAAAAACAAATAAAAATATTTGAATTAATTATTTGTCTCGTTATCATAGTTCTCTGTCAATTATATTTTATTTAATATAGCACATCATAAAAAAATTAAAAAAATTATTAATCTTAATTTATTTATGAAACTTAAAAAAAAACTATAAATTACCTAAAATTGCAAGTCAAATTTAAAATTTGATTATAAAAGCAACAATTATCAAGAAACTGTTTCCAGTACTGCATTAGATTTCAATTAGTGAAGATGCTGTGGCAAAGCTTTGTATCTTTCTTATTTTTATTGACTTTCATAGCTGCCAATGGGTCAAGCAATGTAGATGATATAAAATTGGTAACTAAAAATATAAATTAAAAATCAGTAGAATGTTTTTGTAAATTAATTGGTTTTTGTCTTACTAGTCCGATCATATTCTAACCACGGAGCTGTTAACTAATTTAACACATTACCTGGAACTCAATACTCAATACTACACGACACTTGATGCAAAACTTCTCAAGTGAGTAACAGAAATTTAACATAAGGAATTGTGATATAATTTAAAATTTATTTAGTAATAATTTTTTATATATATATATATATATATATATATAAAGCAATCAATATAATTCATTTACATAGAACTTTGCCATTTTGTTGTGTATGTTTAATAATTTCTTCGTATTATGATAGTACCAGTGGTGGCGTATATTATCAAGGTCATTTCGACACCCATACCTTTGTAGTATCTTTTTCGAGATTGCGTTTATATGAAGCCGTCTCTTTGTATACGTATACATGTTTTTGTATTTTGAATATTTTGACATCTACAGCAATAGAGACATCAACAGTGATGTTGTATATGTTCAAGGCCTATACGCCGCCCATACCTTTGTAGTATATGAAGTCGACTTCTTGTTTAGAGATACCATCGGTGATATCGTTTATATTCAAGGTCTGTTCGGCACCCATATCTTTGTAGGATATTCTTTGAGATCGCATTTAAATGAAGCCGTCCTGTTGTATACGTATACATTTCATTGTATTGTGAATGTTTTGACATCTACAGCAACGGAGATAGCTTCTGTGATATCGTATATCTTCAAGAAGTGTTCGGCGCCTATACCTTTGTAGTATATTCTTCAAGATCGCATTTATATGAAGAAATTAAATTAATAAATTTATATAAAACTCTCTTTTCATTTTGTATACGTAGATTTATTTCTTCTTATTATAAATCAATTTACACCTACGACAATCGAGATAGCACATTCATAAAAATAATTTGGTTGATTTAACCAGATTTAAACTAAATCGGAGGTCAAAATATTCTTACTCGACCATTATGATGGTACAACCATACTAACATTTATATGTGGTAAAGCTAAAACAGGTCAATTAAACTTATATGTGATTAAAGCATATTTTTCTGAGTGCATCTTAATGTGCATATCTTCTAGATTTCACTTGCATGGTTAGAGTGTTCTTAAAAGGTATCCATTTAAAATTTCTGAAAATGCAAGATGCCATCATGTCTAACAACTTTATAAACAGCAACCGGCATGTTCTTATTTTAATCTGGATGTAACTACGTGTCAAGTAGTTACCTTTCACCTTAGGCACTAATATGTTCTCTATATGCAGTTCTATTCATCATATGACGTGGTCCATGTATTTTCATAACTAAATGTATATATAAACTAGAGCCCCACTGAGTTGTGGATTTGCTTCGACTATATTCTCTTAGCTGGACTACTGAGACAGTGTTCAACATTCTTATTCTTATCTATCACTTTTTCTCATTTCTGCTTTGTACTTTCTCTAATCCCATTGTGCAAGTAAGAATGACAAAAATTCTTACTTGTATATACGCTTCGCTTTTAAATCAAAGAACATTATAATTGTACATAACATATTAATATATTATATATTTTATTACTTCCAATACACTCCGTTACCAAATTTGATAAATATAGAAAACATAATAATTCTTTTCAAATAGATTTGTGGAACAATTTAAAAAAGCAATAGATGAATCCATAAAAGAATTGGACGATGACGATGATGATAAGGAAGTAGAAGTTCAAAAACCTGAAGCATGTGCAGATATTAACAACTCAACCGGGGTTTATCAATTGTATCTAGAAGATTTTATTGAAAAGCCATTCTTTGTGTATTGCCAAAAAGATTCTGAAGATGAATCTGCTTGGACTGTTATACAACGTCGTGAAGATGGTTCCATAAATTTCAATCGTGATTGGGCAGATTATAAGAGAGGTTTTGGAAATATATATGGAGAATT